AAAATAATAATAATAAGATATTCACATTATCCACTATTATTATTATCAAAATAATTCTAATAAATGATATACTTCTAAATACCATCGATACTCTTTTAACATCAACAATACCCCCTAACACAAATCATCAAACATACAAATATTTCACCAAAATTCACCGAAGATCACGAATATTTATAATAAATAAATTAAACAAATATTCTAATTATTTTCGGGCGTTACGTCTTTGTGTGAGGTAAGTGAGATGAGAGGTATGAGAGATTGATGACAGATGTGTATAATCTGTTACTGTAAGGAAGATGTCAAAAGATAGGAAATGTGATATGCGTGTGTGTGTTTATATATATATATATATATATATATATATATATATATATATATATATATATATATATATATATATATATATATATATATATATATATATATATATATATATATATATATATATATATATATATATATATATATATATATATATATATATATATATATATATATATATATATATATATATATATATATATATATATATATATATATATATTCTTCAATTTTTGAAGACGAGACTTGAAGGGTGAACGACGTTGTAGTTGTGTCTTGGTGATTGGTTCGTTCCCCTTTCCAAATGCAAGTCACATTATACTATACTAGCGTTCAAACGGGCACTTCGTGCCCGTTTGTCCGCTTTTTTTATTGCGCTAACGCGTGCAATTTTTTTAATGGTGTTTTTGACATATATTCCATTAAAAATAATATTACTTAGGAACAATTATAAAAAAATAAAAATATAATGATACATATTAACTTTAATATGTTTTAGTAATGTCTTCAGACCAATTTAATACTAAAAAAATATCTTCAGACCAATTTAACAATGCAAATGTCAACTTAAAATTAACTTAATAATCTAAAGAGTAGAATGTGAAAATTAAAACTTATTAATAAATTAAATGTTACATAAAATAATATTATTTACATAATTAAAAAAATAAAAGTAAGAAGACAACCAATGTATATTGTTTAATGTCTTAAAATTTTAATAATATCACAATGTAGAAATCATACAAATTATAAATGGATATAAAATAACAAAAAAAATAATATTCACATATTTTACAATAAAGAACATTAATAATCTTACTATTATTTTTCATGCTCGATGTTCTGTTTAATATAACAAAAAACATATTTAGAAAACAAAATAATGTGGTAATTGTTATTTATTTTTGTAACTTCACCTTTCTTATAATTTATATGTGGATGTTGCCACTAATATGTGTTTCCTCTCTCTCTTTTTCTCACTTTCTCTTCGTCTCTCTCTAACTCTTTTTTTATATCACTCATTAGTCTCTCTACCTCTCTATATATCTCAATCTCCTTTGCACATAGCATTTATTTGTTCCTCTTTCTTTGTTTTGTTAAGTAGTTAATAACTGGTTATCACAAAAAATCATGATGAAAACATAAACACAAATGTATCTTTAAACGATATTCAACCCTTAATATCATTCATAGCCTTAGACTTGACATTATACAAAAAAAACTCTAAAGCCTATATTTACCATTATTGTAATTTTATTTGTGAATGTGAGTCTTATAGATGGCAAGATTAGATATTAATCTCAATAACAACCTACACAATATAATTAAGTATCATATATTTTTTTGGATATTTTAAAAATGATCAATTATTTTCTGATGCATTAATAAAAAAAATTAAATATATATAGTTCAAGTTTGTATTTTTGAGGAGTTGAATGGTGGTATAGTAAATGACTTGATAATTGGTAAAATATACAGTGATATAGAATGGTTTGTAACAACTCTAACTTTCTACAAAATCTTTTTTTTTTATATTTATATTGTAGGTAATCACAAAGACACATTAACAATATATACAATTCACACAATTCAAAGATTCAATAATAATGGAAAGAAAGACAAAATTGCATGTGAAATAGAATTTAGATGAAATTAACAATCCATGAGAGAGAGAGAAATAACTTGCAACTGAAATAGAGATAATTGTTTAGGAAGTTAAAGATAAGGATGGTAAAAAATTATTAAAGTTTTAAATTGAGAATGAAACAATTATTATTTACTAAATTTATTTTGTATATGTGGTTGGTTTTAAAATAACAGTTAAAGGTCAAATATCTAACAAATATACGTTAGTCCAAAATGTTATATTGTCTTTATCTATAGGTATAGATAAGTATAGATTAATGTTTAGGTCACGTTATAGAAATTATATAATTTAAAAATTGAGATATTGTTTATATTTTAAAAATTTTGCAAATTACACAGGTAAAATTGGAACAATAATAGATAAAGATTCAAGAGAGGAAACCAAAATTTAAAAAATTTAATAAAAATAGTCATTCTTATTTGATCATAGACATTAGAGCACACTTTTTTTTTCTTTCGTAAGAGATAATGATTCATTTTTCTTCTACAATAGAGAGAAAAATTAAAGTATTAGACATTAAAAAAAAATTCAATAATCTCAATTTTCAAACCCCAATTTCACATATGGATTTGTTTATGTAAAAAGAACAAAATAGTAAATGAAAATAAATAAAAAACCAAATCAAAAATTAGATTGAAGAATCTAAATGCCCTAATAATTAACTCTAACAGAAATCATTGTGTGATTCACAATCCATTGCAAATTGTAGCTTTCTCTTTTCTACCATCATCATGAACATTGTCTGGATTCTAATTTTCCTCATTCAGTCTTTCTTCTTCTCTATTTTTGACTTCTATGGACCCAATGAGTTAGAAATGAAAGACATAACTTATAAGGAGAAGCTATTTAAATATAGTTTTTAATTAGAAGTTAAAGTAAGTTTTCTTTTTAAATAACTAATTACTTTGTACAATATTCAAATATAAAATGGAGGGAGTAGTTAATTTTTATTTGTGTAACTTCTAAGTAGTTTTAAAGGGTAAAAGAGGAAAGAAAATAGGCTACACCAAAACAATGTATTGCCTTTATATATTATTATAGATTATAGATATATCACCCAAATATTTTTCGAGTGAAAAATGAGTTTAAACCAATCAAATGAAATAAAATCCATACATTTTAAAATAAACACAATCAAATCAAATTAACTATACAATTAAATCTATTTATTTTTTAAAACATTTTGATAAAAGAAAAAAAAAGAATTAAAATGAATAAAAGTTAGGGGGAAAATTGCTCAAAAAATTAAAATGAAAGCATTACAATGATTAATGCGAAATAAACTTCTGGAAAAAATACAGATTTTGATCAAATTTTGAAGTCAAAAATGTCTGATTGAAAAGGCTCTGCCTGATCAAAATATGACTGCAAAAGCAAACGAAAAAAAACGAGCACGCCAAGTTAAATAATACAAATAGTAGATTAATCATATTGACGTCTTCAAGCTCGATTTCAAGATTTTCCGCCTGCTAATTTTATGTACATTTGAGAACCGATTCAACCAATCTATCTGTATAACTGAAAATTTATTGTGGTTGATATTTTAAGTATTATGCATGACGAAATGCATGTAGTTATATGCAAATGATGCAAATATCATGATGTATATGTCCATTTATTGATTGAGGGAAAAAAATTGGTGGTACAACACTTATCAACCACTAAAGCGAGGTATGTTGCCCTTACTGAAGTTGTGAAAAAAGCATTGTAGCTTGAAGATTTTGTTAAAAAGCTGAAACTTCAAGGTCGAGTTATCACTATTAAATATGATAGTCAAGGTGCAATACATCTGTCAAAAAATTCAGCCTATCATGAGTGAATCAAGCACATCGATATGATGCTGAACTTCACCAGAGATATAATCAAGCGTGAAGAAGTCGAGGTGCTGAAGGTTTCGAGTGATAAAAATATTGCTGATATGATCACTAAGACATTGTCAAGTAACAAAATTTTCCACTTTATGCAGTTGATAAAGTTACATGATAAAAGTTAGTTTGTTCTCTTGTTTGTGTAGAGTTTGTTCCAATGTGGAGATTTGTGGTATTTAGATTGAACTCTAGTCTCGACGTGTATAACTTTATGGTTCAATAAAGGTTTAGCGTGTAGTCGAAGCATGTTCACATGATATAGTCGAAATGCTAGGATTATTAGCATGTCGAACTGGGTGTGTTTATTTAGCTCAATTGCTTAAGTTAACTTGTAGCTAAAGTTAGCTTAGTAATCTATAAATAGATTGTTCTTTCAGGTTATTGAGAGAGTTTTAGTGATTGATATTCACTTGTAATCTTTGAAATCTAATAGAGAAAGTGAATAGTAAAACAATTATAACCAATCCTAATTCTTCTTCTTCTCTCTCTCTCTCTCTCTCTCTCTCTCTCTCTCTCTCTCTCTCTCTCTCTCTCTCTCTCTCTCTCTCTCTCTCATAAAACCTAATAGGGTTTCTTGTGTTTATTCAAGAAACCAAAACTTTCTCATATTTTGATTTATTCTTGACGAAATTAATTCACAGCATAAAGAGTATGAGAATTGAGTGATTTAATTTCTTGAATTTGGGGAAAAAGTCTTCCTAATGATAACATGATTTGTTGGTGTCCTTGTAAAATTTGCTGAAATACGCAAAAACATCCAAGGGATGATATATTCAATTGTAGTTGTGATGAAATTATTCAAAATTACATGAAATATATATGGCGCGGGGAAGTAACAAAAAAATACATACGTCACATAGAGTTAAGATGATGAATTTATGAATGATACTCTAGAAGATATGATTCGTGAAATTAGAGTAGATGATTTTAAGAAAGCCTATATGGAAGATACTTTGAAAAATGACAAGGAATAGTCGTTATATCTAGGATGCAAAAAATTTACAAGATTGTTAGTTGTGTTAAGATTATTTAATGTTAAGGTAAGAAGTAGTTGGACAGATAAAAGTTTCACTGAATTGCTTGAATTGTTGCAAGAAATGCTTTTAGAAGGTAACATGTTGTCGAACCATAGTTATGAGGCCAAAAAGATATTGTGTCTAATGGGTTTAGACTGTGTCAAAATATATGCATATCATAATGATTGCGTATTACATTGGAAAGAGTATGAAAACTTAAAAGAGTGCCTGAGGTGCGGGGAGTCACGCTACAAGAATAAGGATAATGGTGTTGAAGATGATGATGATGTTACTAGAAAGAGTGTTTCTTCCAAAGTGATGTGGTACCTATCGATAATTCAAAGATTCAAGAAACTGTTTGCTAATTTAATAACGCAAAAAGTACTAGATGGCATGCAGATGACACACATGTTATTCGTCGTGATCATTGGAAGGGGATATAGGAAAACTAACAAGTAAATATTTTATATCACTTAGTTATATATATATATATATATATATATATATATATATATATATATATATATATATATATATATATATATATATATATATATATATATATATATATATATATATATATATATATATATATATATATATATATATATATATATATATATTACTCATTTATCTTTTTATATTCTTTTTATTAAAGATTTGATGTTGTTGATGATGATGATCTTAATTGGTTTCAAATGCGGTTCAAATTATATGTGTTTAAAAATCAATGACAAATCACAAAAGAGAACTTTTTGACGGCCTACAAGAATTTTTATTTTGGTTATTGCTTTTGTTGGCTAATCATTTCTTTTAGTTTTAATTTATTGTAAAATTATAAGGTGTACATGTGTCATTTTGAGTTTGCAAATAGTATAAACAAATAATATTGTGGTACAATGTTTTAGTTTAAGAAATGGTCAAAAGGTACCAAATATATGTTTCAGAAATGACCAAAATATGATTCTGTAATACTGTATCTATTTCAGAAATGGCCAAAATATGGTTCTGTAATACGTGTTCAAACAAAAATATAGAAGAAAAAAACAAATAACAATGTTTTCCCTTCGGATATTATTGTAAAACAATGTAATAATACTTCTATATTACCTTAGATTCTCAAATAATTAAGAGAAAATGTCTGGTGTGCCATCCAGTTATGAAAAAAATAAAAATGCAGAAGATGGGAATCGAGCCCATGCAAAGAACACTTTACCTATCAGTTTTGCAATAAATTGAGGGGTAACGTGCCAAGTTTTTTATGACGCGTTTCGTTACCTCGCCTCTATAACTGAGACTTAATATATTTAATGTCCAACATTAAATTTATTTTTTCTAGTAATGTTAACACCTTTGATGCATAATCAAAAGAACAATCACACGCATTTAACAAAGAACAATGTCTCTACTCAGTTCACATGAAAATAGTATCTTTAATCTCAGTGTTAGTTGTTCTAAATGAATACCTTGAGAGAGATATAGAGAGTGACTAAAACTAATATTTAGACTAAACATCACCAAGTGTGAAAGCTTTTGTACAAGGGTTCTATTTATGTAACCACTTATGTATGTCGCAATTGCACCTTACCTTATGATATATTGTATTTCACATAAGTGCGTGGTACCTTGATGTATTTTATATTCCACTTATGAGCATTGTATCTTACAATGTTTTATAATTCACTTAAGTATAACATACCTTACAATATTCCATAATTTTCTTAAGAACATTGTATCTTACGGTGTTCCATATTTCACTTATTTATTATATATCTCATTAATTTGTCCTAATGTGTGCAACAACGTAATTCTCGTAATATTGGTAATTATACTAAATCATACATTTAATATAGTAAATAATGAGTATTATCTAACAACACATCACTACTACACAAGTCATGAAAATGTTATGTGATATGGCAAAAAACTTTTTGTGATATTTTGTGTGTGTATAGTTACCCTTTTGCTCTCATTTCTATATTGAACATAAGACATCGAATGTTTTACCTTTGCCCAATTCAATACTGGGCACTTAAATATTTTTTCCTTATATGGAAAATGAGAAAATTCCATTTAGACCACTCATGTCTCTCAACATGATTTGTGGAGTACCCATCAACCATGAGTTAAATACCTATTTTCCCCATTGTCATTTGGGAAAATTTTGAAAAAACCATACATATAAAAGTTTGGATTCCTTCTCTAGATTATCAAGATTCGTCTATTTTGATCCTTCAATCAACCCAGTCACCAGAATAAATGACGTGTCACTGCTTTGTGTTTTTTTATTTAAATGATATGGGGTGCCTAGTTGGTTTTTTTCTTAAAAATATTTGTATTCTTTTTTTTAATGCCACATTGACTTTTTATTTTCTTTTTAAGTATTTTTAACTATTAATATATCAAAATTTGTCGACAATAAAATACCCATCTAGGGTCCATAGTGGTTTCGGGTCAAAGGGTGATATGTACCACTATTACCATGAGTATAACTTATGGAACTTGCATAACATTCTATGTAGTTTTCTCAGAGCGGGTCAATCCAGTATAAATATTTTTCTAAATAAGCATACCTATGTGAAGACATGATAACTCTGTATCCATGATCCATGATATGTGATCATTAGTCTATTCTTATAATAGTTTCAATGTTGTGATGTTATCTCATTTTATAATAAAGCTCAACTATGGAAACATCAAGAATAATGTTCTTGTGTTTAATGAAATCACTTGATTAAGTTACCATTAATGTTTCATTAAACAGACTACCTATTCTACATATTTTATTATTTTAGAAAAACAAACATAACAAAGAAAGTTCTTTTATTATTAATAAATAATTCAACACATACCTAGTTCTAATAAATAACTATTGGTCTCTAGAGCTTACATCAACAACAAGAAGAGTTAAGTCAATTCGAGAGAAACAACATTAAGGAACTTGTTCCCAAAACTTTAGCTAATTAAGGGATTGGTACCTGATAAGTCTTTCACAACAAGCTTGATAAGGATGGAAAAGCTTTAAGAAATAAAGCAAGACTTGTTACAAAGGAATATAATCAAAGGAAGGCATATATCTTGACGAAACCTATGCCCTTATAGTTCGATTAGAAGTCATAAATATGCTTCTTGCTTTCTTATGCATCATCAATTTTAAACTATTTCAAATGGACGTTAAAAGTGTACTTTTTAGTGGTTACGTTCAAGAGGAAATTTTTGTTAATCAACCTCCCCGAATTATAAATCCTTCTTTTCCAAATCACGTTTTTAAAATGAAAAAGACTCTCTACCACCTAAAACAAGTATCAAGAACTTGGTATAATTGTTCGAGCAAATATCTTCTTAATTTTTTCTTCAAAGAGGAAGGTTGATAAAACTCTTTTCATTGAGAAATCTGAGCATCGCATTTTATTAGTTCAAATTTATGTTGATGACATTATTTTTGGTGCTATTAACGAATCCTTGTGTATGGACTTTTCTAAGATGATGTATAATGAACTTGAGATGTCTATGATGGATGAGCTTCAATATTTTATGGGCTTAAAAATCCATTAAACAAAATGATGGACATTTATCAATCAAACAAAGTACTGTAAAGAGCTACTCAAAAGATTACACACAGATAAAGCTAAGTCAATTTCAAACTGATGAGAACTTCTTGTATCTTAGACAAGGACGAGGTAAGAAACGAGTCGAAGAAACAAGTAACGAGGTATGATTGACTTTCATCTTTATCTTATTTCATCTCGTCTTAATATCATTTTTGTTATGTGTCTTAGTGGTTGTTTTCAAGAAAATCCCTAAGAATCACATCTCACTGTGGTAAAAACACATTATGATACATCTCACTAACACACCATAAATGGGTTTATGGTACCCAAAGGAACAAAATATTCCTTAGTTGGGTGCTCTGGCTATGATTTTGTTAGGTGTAAATTAGATTGAAAAAGTAGCAGTGGTGTGTGTCACTTACTTGGTAACTCACTTGTCTCCTAGCATAGCAGGAAACAACCAAGTGTAGCACTATCCACTGTTGAAGAAGAATAACATTTCTATAAATAGTTGTTGAGCATAAATTGTCTGGTTGAAACTTCAACTAAGTGATTAAGGAATTGATCTCAGTGTTGTCCCAATAAAATGCGACAACACTAGCACCATAAACCTCATGAAAAATCTGGTACTTCACTATCAAACTAAGCACATTAAGGTTAGACACATCTCGTTAGGGATCATATAAAAAAAAGGGAATTGTTTAATCAAACAATTGTCTTCATTTAATAAATTAGCATATATTTTTTCTAAAGCTCTTCTTAAAGAAAATTTTATTTTTCATAAGAACTCGATTAGGAATATTAAATCACTTTTGCAGGGATTAAAATCTACCAGATGCTTATTCTCCTTTTTTTTAATATCTTTCTCTTTATATGTTCTTGTTTCTTTACCGTCTTCTCGATTATGTCAAAGGGGGAAGTATACTATAAAGAGGAGTAGAATATACTTTTCATCACTACTATAAAAAGTACTTTTAACGTCGGACGCGAAATGTATTTTACCTCGGCTGCAGTAGCAAAGTAACGAAGGGCGTCATAAAAAGTAACAACTTATCATCTCGATTTTTTAAACACCGAGTGGTATATTAATTTGCACATGGATTTGAACCCTAACATCAATATTTTTATTATTTACAAAACTAGTACCTCATACATCTCAATTTGAAATAAAACTAATGGATAAGATATATTGTTTTTTTTTAATTGAAATTTGTTACATTGTTTACATAAGAAATAAATAAAAATAATTTGTTTAAAAACTATAATGTTTATCCAAAATATTATATTATTTACATAGAATACTAAAATAAATATTAATTTATCCATGAAGAACATATGTTGGATCTTAGACTCCTTGATATTCGGGCAAGATCAAATGCTTCACCTTGAAAGTATTTGTTTCTGATATAAAATAGAAAAAGGGTTAGAAAAATAAATGCTTTTATGCTCAAACGAATATTTAAAAACACAAACTTTAAACTTAGATAATTGTATGCACTTGCAATCCATCATAAAGAACTCTTAATGGCAAAAGTTAAAGGGAAGGATGTAGACAATTTCAAGCATTTTATGACGTTTCTTTATCAGTTATAGATACCAGAAGGCATTTATAATGAAAATTTTGTAAGTTTCATGCAGATCACTAATGATAGTATCTTGAATGTTGATAATTATGACATGAACGACAAATATTTGTTTAAGAACGGTAATCAATATCTAAAATTATCACGCTAAATTATCCCATCGGTCTTGTTAAAAAACGAAGTGAACATGATTTTTTTAAAATTATATTGTTTACACAAAATATTGAAAAACAATAATACAACAAAAGAATAATTTTAGTGTAAGAAGTTATCTGATCCAAATATTGCAAGCATCCAATTTCTAGGAGTTATTTGGTCCAACCAT